GATACGAACCCTACCCGCCCTATGCGGCCATCCCCACTCACCGCTTCCACCATCCGCGATATGCCGCTCGACTTGGTTGATCGCATCAGATCATTTCCCCTGTTTGTGTCTGCGCCAGACGAGTTCTTGGCCGCTATCGGAAACCATTTGAGACCACAAGTTCATGCTGCACAGGACCACATTCTCACGGAGGGCGATGATGCCAGAGCAATGTACTGGCTGGTGCGCGGGGTCGTGGCTGTCACCTCTAGAGACGGTGAAGCCATTTATGCAGAACTCAAGCCCGGTGCCTTTTTCGGAGAAATCGGTGTATTGATGGACGTACCGCGAACTGCGACCATTGTGGCTCGGACAAAATGCCTTCTCGTGGTCCTTAAGAAGGAAGACCTCCAGGCCGAGTTACCGAAATTCCCGGATATGGAACGTGCTATTCGTCACGAAGCTCAAGAGCGGTTAAACATTCTCAAGAAGAAGCGCCAAGAGGGCGGGCAACTCATCAAGCCTGCCTCGACGCAAGCCAACGGAGCAAGAGAACCGGTGCCAGGTGAGGTGTCTACGGGTGAGGTAGGCACCATCAGAGAGGGCACCGTCGTCAACTCCAAGAAGCGGAAATCTCCCAGTCCTGGCGCCATCGAGGACCCTGCAGCAGGCAGTGCCCTAGGAAGTGGTTTCGTCAACGTGCGACGAACATTACGAGAACTGCCTTTGTTCTCCACATTACCTCCTGACATCCTCCATCAGCTGGGACTCAGCGTCCAGCCAAAGACATATCCTCCATTTACAGACATCATCCAACAAGGATCGGCCGGCAACGAGATCTTCTTCATTGTTCGAGGTGAAGCAGAGGTTGTTCATGAAGCACCAAGTGAACCACCAAAGAAGATAGCTCGTGCGACCTATCTTAGGCCAAGATTAAAAGCAGGTCAATACTTTGGAGAAGTGGCCAGTCTTGGGTTGTCCGAGGGTCGAACAGCGACAGTGCGGGCAATTACAACGGTCGAGTGTTTGATGATCCCCGGAGACGCATTAGACACGCTTTGGAGCCGATGCCCACCTGATATCAAGTCGCAGGTTGAGGAGACAGCTCGCAAGAGATACAAGAATTCCGACGAAGACGTTGAAATGTCAGATGCAGACCCTATGGAAAGGACCAGCAAATCAGATCCTCCGACACCGACAACACCCAAAGCTCTACCGCACGTCACGTTCACAACGCCCTCAAAACCGACGTCACCTACAAAGGACGATATGGAAACGATGGAGCCCAAGGACCCTGATCCTTTCTTGAGCGTAGACATGGAGAATATGCGAAATAGGCGACGCAATTCCCTGGCCCCGCCTACCCCGCAATCCGACAACTCCTCGTCAATAGTGACGAACGGCTTTCGAACTCACCAGATTGAGTCGACACCTCTTCGCTTCTCTTTTCCACCACAGTCGCCAACCGAGCAAGAAGCGCCCGTCAAGCGAGCCCGGACACTGCCACGGCGTCCACACCCGGCCCAGGCCCCAGCTCTTCCCGACGATTTGCTCGTGGAAGCATTCCGATACCTCAATGTTGCAGAGCTGATGAACGCGCGAATCATTTCGTCTCATTGGCGGAAGCTGTTGACGACGCACCCGAAGGTTTGCATGGATTTGGACTTGTCTGAGCATAATAGAAGAGTCACAGATCTGGCCATTCGAACAGTCATTGGTCCTTTCGTTGGCAACCGCCCGGAGACGATTGACATTAGCAACTGCTTCCACATTACCGACGACGGTTTCCGAAGTCTTTGGGAGAGCTGTGGCCGCAATGTCAAACGATGGCGCATGCGATCCGTGTGGGATGTCTCTGCAAATCAGATTCTGGAAATGGCAGAGAACGCAAAGGGCCTGGAGGAGATTGACTGGAGCAATTGTCGCAAGGTTGGTGACAACTTGCTGGCACGTGTCGTAGGCTGGGTAGTACCCGAGCCGCCACCACCCCAACCGCCCAGCAAACAGGTGGTGATATCCAGTTCTTCTGCCAAGTCAAAGCCTCAAAAGGCTGTTACGCAACAGGCTCAACAGAGAGCTGCTAACATCCCCAAGCCGGGCACCATCATTGGCTGCCCCGCCCTCAAGCACCTCAACTTGTCGTATTGCAAGCACATCACTGACAGGTCGATGGCTCATCTTGCTGCGCATGCGTCCAATCGGTTGGAATCGTTGTCCCTGACACGATGCACCTCAATCACAGACGCCGGCTTCCAGTCTTGGGCTCCGTACCGGTTCCTGAACCTGTCTCATCTGTGCCTCGCGGACTGCACTTACCTCTCTGACAACGCGGTCGTCGCCCTCGTCGGTGCGGCCAAGAACCTGACACATTTGGATCTTTCTTTTTGCTGCGCTCTTTCTGATACCGCCACGGAAGTCGTCGCCTTGGGATTGCCTCAGCTGCGCGAACTTCGCCTCTCATTCTGCGGCAGTGCCGTCTCGGATGCCAGCTTGCAGTCGGTTGCACTACACCTGAACGAGTTGGAGGGCATCTCGGTCCGCGGCTGCGTTAGAGTCACTGGCGGCGGTGTCGAGAATCTGCTTGAAGGATGCAGTCGACTACAATGGGTGGACGTTAGTCAGTGTCGAAATTTGGAGAATTGGATCCGAAGCGGAGGTGTTATGCGGTGGGGATTCGATGAGCGCGGTGGTAATGGCCTGTCACCGGGACAGGTGCCTTTGCCACTGCCTAGCCCGACACCGGCTGCTACGAACCGCGGTGGACGTGGGGCAAGGCCGCTAAGCTTCCGGAGAAGAGCAAGACACCCCGTCCGATTCATTGTTGAAAAGGGAGCATTCGGGCTTAGATGATGATGCGAGGTGGTTTAATTGGGGTATCTTGACGCTGTTATGAGAGAAGATGTTTTGTACGATTGTGGCCCGGCGCGGAAATGTTTGGATCATAGAATAAGCCTATTTTTAGGGAGGCGCAGCTCGTTAGGAGAAGCAGACATCATTACAGGGCATCATGTTTGGATTCTCAGACGACTTTTGGCGGGATGGGCTGAGGATAGACTGGACTTGATGATACCCTAATTCATTTCGTTACTGCATCATAGGCACGCGATGTCAAACACACGCGTCCGTTCGTTACCGTATCGTTGTGACAATGACTGCCCATTAACCATTGCATACTATGCCGGAGGTCCCGTCATTCACACCATCCCAGAACTTCTTGTTCCGCTCATCCCAGGCTTTCCGTCGCTCCTCGGGCGATAATTGCTTGGGGAACCCCACCCTGAACAGAAACGCGACCCTAGTGAGCGCCGCCATCAGCGTGAAACTCACGAGGATCCAGTCTACGCCGCGCCATTCCCGCATCGGGTTCACGAGGTTTCCCTGGAGACTGAAGGATATCCAAGCGCTATAGAGCAAAGACGCGTCGACGATGAGGAGGGCGAATTGGTAGAAGCTCCAGATTGCGAGTTGGATTCTGGGCGGGACGGCGTGGTGTTCGGGGGAGGTGAAGACGTAGATTGTGTAGGAGACGGTGACGTGGGCGATTACGTAGGCGAGGAGCTGGAGGGTGTGGGCGCCGGAGTAGAGGTCTGAGTCTGGATCTGAGTAGGCTGGGGAGGTGAGGGCAGTGAGAGGGGAGGAGGTGATGAAGGGTTGGAGGGGGGTTATGGTGAGGATGTTGAGGAGGGTTAGGTAGGTTTTTGGGATTAGGGAGTGTTGCTGGAGTTGGGTTGTGGAGGGGAGGTTGAGTGTGTAGGAGTTTATGACGAGTTTGTCTTTTTTGGCTTTGCCCATTGTTTTTTTGAGGTAGGGGGTTGAGGAATGAGGTAAAGGGCGGTCGGGGTGGTTATTTTGGTGGTTAGATGCTGCGATGTTGGTGTTGGTGTTGTGAAATGCGAGACGCGAGATGCGAACAAATGGGACAACGAGACCCCTCCATGTTTACCTTCCGCAAAAGTGGTTACCCCGGGACGGCGACGTGGTGAATATAAGTCCCTCGTGCGTTATCAGGGGCTGAAAAGAGATGCTACTACATACAAGTATAGTTTCTCATTTCCCAATTCCCACGTCTTGGCAAAGTATGATTGATTGCCTCGAATTAAATGCTCAGAGTACCTACCTAGCCAGGAATTTGTGAGAATGTCACTGAGGCGGGGGTCCAGTCATGAGTCGCGGGGCATTCTTTCCATCCTTCCATTCCTCCTTCTTCGTTGTTTCCTATTCGGGGGGAGAGGGGCACGAGCCGGGTGCTTGGACCAAGGGGCGACTGGCGGGGTGGAAGGAAGTAGGGGCCGTAACGGGGTCCGGGCTTTCTTGGGCTTGACTTGCCGTTTTGTTTTTTGGTGCTTAAGCTCGTGGAGCTGCGGCGGGCAGGAGCTTGGGCCGTTTGGTGACCTTGTAGGAGGAGGGGGGAAGGAGCTTTGGAGGGAGCTGGTGCATTACGTCAGCTTGAGGATCCAATGTTGGTGATTGCTGTTTATTGTCCTTCAAATCGGCCGACGTTCTTCATCAATGTCGTACCTTTACACAAGGTCTTTGACGTCAGGGCTTGAACTTGATGTGGATTCAATATCTGCCGACTGCTTTCGCTTGAATGGAGGTTGCATTCTGCTCAACATACCATGGCGTTGGTAAGCTTTGTGATCCACAGACTTCCCTCACCAACAGGGCACTGCTTCCTTGCGTATAGCAGCATAGCAACTTCTGGCTGCGCCATCAACCGAGTCGAATGAGACGTGTATCGACCGATACGGCTAAGAAAAATGCCGAATCTGATACAACATGAACCGGAGCGTCTATCAGGCGGTCGTTCATAGGTTCTGCGGGTTGGGCAGGGGCATCATGCAGGGCTGTGGCGCTGACAGTACCCCTACGGAATAGCCCAATCATCGCATGAGCGCGCATTGGTTGCTGACAGCCTGATACGGACTACCCCTCAACTTCTTGTTGCGAGAAATCATTCATTAATCTCTGAGGTCTCACGCTACGATATCGCGACCCGGTCACTGAGTCTGCCAGGCAAAATGCGTCTGCTTGGGACCAAAACGTTGACGCTTCACGAATTCGTCGAGGGCCAAGTTCCCGTGTACGCAATATTGTCGCATACATGGGGAAAAGGAGAAGTTCTCTTCAGAGATCTGGAAAATGACCCATCTGACAAAGCTGGCTGGGTCAAAATTCAGTCTGCCTGCCGTGTGGCCAGCGAACGGGGCTATGACTGGATCTGGATCGATACCTGCTGCATCGACAAGGCCAGCAGCAGCGAGCTATCCGAGGCCATCAACTCTATGTACAAATGGTACCAAGAGGCAAGCCTGTGCCTTGCATTTCTTTCCGATGTGGCGTATTGTGAGCCTGGGACAAGTGAGTGCGGGGCGGCTCTGACCCGGGGTCGGTGGTTTACCCGTGGCTGGACGCTTCAGGAGCTCCTGGCCCCTGTTTCTCTGGACTTTTATGCTCAAGATTGGAAGCTTTTGGGACCTCGGGCCCTCTTCCGCAGCTTCATTGAAAAGAAGACGGGCATTGAAAGCATGTACTTGTCGGGAGAGAAAGGTTTGGCTAGTGCGAGTGTCGCCGAGCGGATGAGTTGGGCTTCGCAAAGGACGACGACCCGAACCGAGGACGTTGCGTATTGTCTTCTGGGTATCTTCAATATTAACATGCCTTTAATATATGGAGAAGGCGCCAAGGCATTCCAGAGACTGCAAGAGGCAATACTTCGAGAGAACGACGACCAGTCCATCTTCGCGTGGGGGACACCGCATGAGACAAATATCGCCACGACCTCGAGAGGTGTGGACAGCAGGTCACTTCTCGCGCCAAGTCCTAAAGATTTCAGACACTCTGGCGACATCATTCCCATCTTCAACGTCATTCCCGGTGCCCGAATTCGCATCGAACATTCAGGTATCGCCATTATGACGCCACTGTTCATACAAACACCTTCTAAATGGGCCACAGGCTCTTGCTCGCAAACTCTATTGGCGCCTTTGCTCTGCCGTCACCGCACCGACGTCTTCAACGCCATCGCGCTTTTTTTAAGCACTTCCAACAGGCGCCCGCCTGATCTCGATCATCTCGACGAGATGACGTACCACAGGCTCTCGTACCGACTGACCACTTTTCCAACGACCGCATGGATAAGTGGGAGACTTTGTTCAACTTTCATTTCCTTTAAATCTTTGCCTACCTCTGCAGATGTCAGAGAGGAGCGCTACCTTCTGCCGAGTGGGGGATGTGCTATCCGGACGCTGCCCAAGGGATTTGATCTTGGAGTCCCATACTCGCCGACATGGGTTGATCGTGACGAAGGAATGCAGTTTTCTGTCTACCCAATAACACATCGCCTTGCTAGATCATATGGTCTTTCGTCCCCAATCGTGATTCCTCTCAGAGGCTCATCGCTGCAAGAGGATGACTGGGAGGGATCGCTTGCTCTTGTTTTACAGTATCAGTACAGGTCAGCCGGGACCGGGTTTGGCGACTACATCGTCTTCCATAACGTGCCGTCGCGGATGGTGAACCGGGTGGTTGTCGTACCGCCTGGATTTACACTTGCAAGCGTTGCGGAAACGGTGCAGGATGAATCTGAGGGGTGGACAGCGGATTACGTGCGTCGGTTCTCGGGCGCGAGCGACACGACGGAAGCAAGAAGTTCGGCAGACTTGTTCGATCTTAGTTCGTTGAGGACATACACCAGGTTCAGGGTGGGAACTTCGACTGAGCCTGTGTATGGAAACCTTCAGATCGTCGATGTTGAGGATACCATGGGGATTAACGTCTCTCTTGAGGTGGATCACAATGGGATTTATACTCCCGTGAAGGGTGTACCACATTTATCTCATCGAGTAAGATCAAGACCATAGTCTCGACTCGACAACAACCCCATTGCGATGCGATATTCCAGAAAACGTTCGCTCGAGATGTGACCTATGGAGGATTCAGATACGCCCTCTCGTTGAGGGAGGTAAGGCAGATAACAAAGGCTTCAGAGATATAGTATTGTCCAGATGACGAATTGCTAACCCCATGCTTACTCAGAAATCTTCCTTCGGCAACTCACGCAGAACACAACCCACCATGAACACTGGCTGGATGACTTGTGGCTGATCCCCAATCCATACCAGCCATCTGCTTTCCAATCTCAGTCGAGCCGTCTGCGCGTATGTACGAGCCTGTAAAAGGTCAGTCTCTGTCATCTTGGCATGCAATACAATCAGCCTCAGAGACTAGCAGAAATACACGTACTGCTCACATGATAATGCCACCAATCTTGAGACCGAAACGCATTATTCGTCAATTGGGAAAGCACATCGTTCCAACCCGTATTCCTGTCGTGGTAGATGGCATGTTTTGACCAAGCGACGTAGACTTTTGGATGGTCAAGGTTCTTTCTGCCATTGTCACCACCGCGGGGGAGCGTTGCGTCGACGGTGTTGAAGGTGTTTTGGATGTCGCCCCAGTTCTTGCGGTCGTAACCTGAGTGTTGGGAGAGTAAGAGCTGCGACGGCTGCCAGTTGCTTGCGGAATTTTTGGTCCATACGACAATTACCCTCTCCCAGTCACTGTTGATTGAGTGATCAGCCAGTCATATATAGTATTGAAGACAATGGGCCAGGGTGGAACGTACTATTTATGTCCAAAGACGCCAGATGGCGTGAATCCATCCTTCTCATAAAACAGATTATACGCAACCCGTACCTCGTTGTCATTACACTTGCTGTAGCTGTAATAGACTGGAAAATCAGGCGCCGGGTTCCCGATTCCGACGCCCGGTTTTCGGCAATTGCAACCAGCGTCGGGCCACTCGCAAAGCTCCGCGCCGGGTGTTTGCTGTCCGTTGACGACTGCATGCGTTGGAATACAAGGCGGCCGATTCATCGCTTGTCCGAAGAACCACATTGGCTGAGCGGCCAAGGCCAGTCCGACGCCGCCTTCATTCAGAAGAGTTGTCATTTGGGTGTCTGAGATGGAGGTTACAGCCATAGTTGCGCCGATCATAGCGGCGCAGAGCGCGAGTGTGCTTGTGAGGGAGAGCATCTTGGTTGTTGTTTGGGATGCTAGAATCTCTCCACGCGATGGTTTCGCAGGCTAATGGGGGTGGACAAGAACGAATTCTTATGCATAATGCAAATTACCTCCCAAGAAGACCATGTGATGAAGCTCCGGTTTTTAGAACTATGTAAGTCTTGAATTACCGGGACTTCGAGAGAGCTGTACGTATTACGGCCCGTTCCTCCAGTCGGCATCATCTCGCTCGGGGTCCCTGAAGATCATGCTACGATCTCGACCCTTGATAGGCTAATAACTACATAGCGTTCCTGCAAGGCATTCAGCATGCTACCATCAGGATGATAACGTTTGGTCAATACTCTATACGAGATGAACTAGACGTCTGCATGGCAATCCTTCGGCCAGGGACTTGGGCGGTAGACACGGTTTATTGGCCCACTTGACTGCTGCCTGCGGCTGGAATTGACACCTTCCAAACCCAGCGGGCGAGGCAAGCTGCAACATGGACAGCACAGGCCGAAGGTTTATATTTCCAAGGTGGAACTGAGTAGGCGAGTCGCCCATCTTTGCTCGAGTGTACCGACATTTGTAATTAGGGTGTGGAAATCAATAACTCCTTGAGCCGTGGGACGGTAATACATAATACCGAGTGATCGTCTTTCTCTCGTTGAGGAACCATCACCTATCGAGTTGACTGAGATTGCCGTAGAATACGTAGAAGATCTTCAGGCTCATTCTCTCCATCGCGAAACGCAGGAATCTACATGGATTGGGTCCTTCGTGCTGTTTGATTAACGTGGAAAAAAACATTTGCTAAATTTGTGGTCCTGATCTCTGAATCACTTGTAACCCATTTTGCAGGACGATCGATTTCCCTTCCTAGGCCATGGGGAGTTGCGACACCAAAGAGAGGATTCGTACTCGAGCTTGCTGTATCAATCTAGTTGCTCGTTTCTTCCGAACTCAAGGAATGTATTATCCTTTACGTTATTACTCATTAACAACGGTGTAAAAGCTAGCCAGGACCTTTTAACATTAAGAATAATAAAGTCCCAAAAGACAAATGAAAGTAAGTCGCCAAATATCCATACAAAGTATCAACTTGGAAGGTCAAGTTGCGCCCTCTTATTGCGTACCATCGTTCAGCCAGTGGTAATGGACATGGACATCACCATCTTTAGCAGCATGTGCATCTTTGGCCGAGTCCTTGGCTGAGGGGCCAACCTCCGAATCATCCTGCTTGAGCCCCTTTTGCCAGGACACAAAGTCGTAGTACCCATGCTTTAACGGGTACCCGAGCGGATACTGCTTGTCCGGCCGCGTAACAAATACTGCGCCAATAGTAGTCTTGACAATCCAGTCAACCATGCCCAGGGCGTGGTACACGTTGTTCGTCGCCATGTCTCTAAGGCGATCACCATGCGTCTGTTTCTGCATCTTTTGTTCATCACTTATCTTTTTCAATTCGACATGATCGTAGTTTATGTCGATGAACATGCGTTCCCACATGCCAATCTGCTCTTCTTTGAGCACCTTGCCCTCTGGGTGAGTCCATGTGTAAGTGTTTTTCGGAGATTTCAACTGCCATAGATCATCTTCCGAGGGCTGCTCGGTATTGACCAGCTGGCCTTCAGCAGCTCGAGTTTTCGGATACTGCTGATGGACAGAGGTGACGGATCCGGCAACGGTCCTATACTTGTCCACGATCTTCGGGTCCCGACCTGGGCGAATCTTAGTTGGGGCCACGCCTCTATCAAGCTTGAGTTCCCAGCCGTGCCCCGTAAGAGCATTGCAGCGCCACTCAGCTTTATCATCTAGGCCGAGACCGTTGTACAGGTAGCGGACCCTGACGCAGGGGTGAACGAGCTCCTCCATGTGTGTAAGGAGCTTCTTCTCGTTGTCGTCTTGGTAGAAATGAGGTGTTCGCGCCGAACTCTCTGCGAATTGACCGTGGTACGCATGATACGGCGCTGAAATCACGTTCCAAACTCGGTCGAGACCCGTCGTGACCAAAGATGTTGGGCTGGTGATCTCACCGAGGCCCCAAGGCCGAATGGTGTCTCCATGAGAGATTGTACTGAAGATGCGTTTCATCTCACACGTGCTGAATTCCACGCCAACGGAATTTAGCTGATCCGCCATCCCTAGTGACATCGTCAGTTTAGGTTCTTCAAGTGAAGCATAGGGGATCTCCACCCTAGCGGAGAGTCCAGCACATGGGGTGAGTAACATACATCCAAGGGCAATCTTGGAGATTTGCTGGGAATCAGTGCCTCCGCCAACGTTGCTGTGGCATCCAGGGAACCAGACCTGGCGAAGTTGGGTGTTTGTATTCGATCTCTTGCACCTCCAAAGTGTGGGAGCGAAAGGGCTTCTGAATTCGTCTAGGGCAAGGGCGTGGAACGCATGATCGATATTGGGGTGGACATTGTAGCTTGCAGATCGGACCTGGCAGTCACGAGACGTTTAGCCTTTGCGCATATATGACGACCACAGCCCTCGGGCTTCCCCTGAGGGTGGACCTTACCTCTTCAGCACTGCGGCTGGCGCCGTGCCAATTGCACCACGGCGTCTTGGGGATTCCAAGGCTGCCTACTGTCTCCCATACGCCTGTTCGAATGGCGAATTTAGCTACTGCGAATTGGAGTTGAACTGATAATCGAAAGTAGGGTTGAACTCACCGACTGCTTTAATCTTCCCCTCCACCGCTCGGTGCGAGATTACTTCATTGCCATCGTCTACCATACGAGTCAAGCAAAGTTCGTACTGAGAAATCAGCCATCGAGTCAAGTACTTCAGAAGAGCGAGACGTCACTTACGTCGCTCAGCTTCTGGCGATAAGCCTCTGCCATGAGGCGAAACTTCATGCTCCCATCTGTCCTTTTGAACTGAGTCATCTTCGTAAATAACTCTCTTTTATCCTCATGTAGCTGTTTCTCTAAGGATTCGTGACTCGTGGCCTGGTCGTAACGTTCGAGGAGCTTCACCAGATCCCTCTCCACATCCCAAACCTCTTGCTCGGTTAACTCTCCGACCTTTTCGGGGCGCAACTTATCTTCGAGCGGCCGAATCTCTGCCATGTAGTCTTTCTCTATCTTCATCTTCAGCTGGTCGTGATTGAACCCCAGTAGATGCTTCTTAGGGTCAAACATGCGAGGATCCGTCCAGTCGCCGAAGGCTTTATAATCCTTGTAGATTTGGCCGAGGCTGCTGAGTCCAGAGCGGTTGAGGAACCCAAGCGTGCAGACCATGCCTGCGATCGACCGAGCCGTGAAGGCGCCTCGCGAGAAGCCGACGATGATGATCTCGTCCCCCGGGTTATAGTTATCGCAGATGAAGCGGTAGCAATCTATAATGTCCTGGTACCGATTAACATCAACCATTTGTCACCGCCATCACTCTATTGGAGTCACTTACCTGTTTGACACCCAGGCCGAACAGGCCTCCCACAAAGCTAGCCCATTTGTCTTCTTCTGTTCCGGGACCGCGGTGGTAGTAGACTACTTGAGGCATTCCGCTGCAGCACTTGTGTGCGACTGCAGATGAGAGACGGCTCACGTTGGTGGGTACGCCGCCATTATTGCTTGGAGTGGCATCTCAGTATACGCATACGTGGATAATCGAATCTCTTTATTGCCGCACTTACGAATTGTTCCATGTGCCATCGCAGCAGATCACCAGCCTTTTCCTGTTCGCAAAGTTCCCATCCTCCGGGATGGTTCTGTGTGCACATTTGACGTATTCTGTCGACATTCTAACTGGTTTCTTGTTCTTATAGGAGTAGACTTGATGTTGACGAAGAGCAGACGACAAGCAGGAGAAAAGAAAGGGCCACCCACCACATTATATCAATGATCATGTTCAGCTCGCAGTTCTCTAGTGCTGAGATGGAACAGAATTTCAGATGTTAGCATGTGAAATGGGCTCATATCTGAAGGGTCCGTTTCTACAGAAGTGTCTTTGAAGTACCGGAAACGGCATGTTGTCTTAGACCCCGCGATCCATCTTGGCTACAGCTGAAGGTACCCAGGAACGCAACACGATGAGAACGGATTCAATCAGCAACAACATAGCAGATCAGTCGTTTTGCAGCCTAT